AAGCAGTGGTATCAACGCAGAGTACTAAATTGAGGTCATTATTGATTGAAAAGAGGTTGAATTTACGCTGGTAGGTAGGGTAACCAAACTCTTGAAAACTCGTTTAAACAGGTAAATGACATATCAATTTTTCTTGACGCGTGGCAGGAGGTTGACACTCCTTTCTATGAAATTATGATCGAATTTGATACCACAAAAGAAGCAGTATACTGTCTGAAAAAATGGGTCGGATAACGGAAAAGTATATCAAAAGTGTTGCAAAAATTGTCGTAAGAAAGTAGGTTGAAACGCCCGCTGGCATGGAGCAACTAATTTAGCAAACAACTTACCTTAATATCATGAATTTAAGGCAACTTTTTCGCTAAGTGAGCCGCTGAGCCGCGTCGTCGTATTTCGAAGGACGAAGCTTATGCCTCACGATACTCTTGGGCAATACGCAGCATGGTATAGGATCCTCTGGTAACGGGATCATTTGGTGTGCTCAGGATGCTCAAGTTTAGAAAAAAACGAGTGCTTCTTGTACTCGTGAAGTTAGAATACTATCAGGCAGGTGGCTACTGCATTGTTTTGGAACGTCGTATGTGAATATTTGAAAGAGCTCAAGTTCCGCCTTGAGGGATAGACACAAATCAGTGACATATGTACATGCGCAACAGCAAAGGTATAGCACTTTTATTTCCGAAATACTGATCGTTATCAACGATTTCGAAACAAACTGAATTCGAAACATTCTTCTGTCCAATCTTTTGAGAGTGCATCACAGAGTAGTTCAAGAAATAAACGAGGAACAAGGAAAGTTGATTTGTTCAAACATGTCTACATATCTTGGCTCTTTATCGAACCATCTAGTATGCGAACTCCTCATTTTCACTCCTAGATGAACATGGAAGGCCGCGGTGATGACCAGGTGGAAGTATCTGGTGAGTTTATTGTTTGTGTCTGTAAAACTGAGTTATGGCAAAAATGCAGAGCCCTTTTGAAAGCAACATACTTAACGAATCAGGTGAAAGCAATGTATGAGTTCCGTTGCGTGAGCTATTAACTTTGACCAAAAATGTATACAATTCAAGTTGATATTGCAGTAAGTAATTGTAACTTGATGCAGGGCAGGCAGCGTTGTTATCCGATTTATAAGAGCTCATGTACAAACTTTAGTTTTCACCAACAATATTGAGTGATGTGTAGAGCTATAAACTTGTGAAAACCAGGTGCCGTATTTCAACAAAAACTTTGTTTGCCTTAGGCAGGCGCTATACTCCTCGAGGAGTATAGCATGGCGACGGGCGATCGCCAGTCGCTAATCGATACGTATCAAACGTGTAGTCGCCAATATTGGCGATCATTACTCATTTCCCACTTCCATTTCAAAGTACTCACCAGCCGGTGAGGTCGCCCTAAAAAGAATGAACTGCAAACAGTGATTTTCACATTCAACACTTAACGGTAACTTGTTTGGCGAATGGCGATCGCCAGTCGTAGCGACTGGCGATCGCTCGTCGTAGCGACTGGCGATCGCCCGTCGTAGCGACTGGCGATCGCCAATATCGGCGACAAAAATCGCTGGTTTTACACGTATTTGATGCATATCGATCGTCGCCATGCTATACCTCGAGGAGTATAGCATCTGCCTTAAATGAAAGTTTCATCTTCAGGAATAAGACGGGGGTTCAGTTTGCGTTTTCGCAGTCCTTCTAACTCTTTGAATTAATGAATATTTCAGCTTACGTAACAAGTTTGCGAGCTTTGTAGGATATTTCCAAGAATCTCCTTTTGTCTTTTATGGCTGTCAACTTTCTCCTTTTCTGATAATTTCTGTTTATTTCGCGCAATGTTCCAGTTGTACTCAGAGTGCTCAGAAAGAGTATTATTTTTTCTAAAATTTATTTTTGCGGGTATGAAAAGAAGTTCGTTTTTAAACGCCCTTCGGCTTTGACCATACATCACCAGTATTACCCCTGTTTCTCGTGTTATTAGTGTTTTAGGTGTTACTAGTGTTACGCGTGTTACTATTGATACCCATGTTACCGGGTTAAGTGTGTTCGTTTCTCGTCTTACTTGTGTTACCTTTATTGCCGTTGAGTAGCGAATGATCACAAATACAGAATCATTCTAGAACGGCATCTCACTGACTGGTGAGTGAGTAACAGTGAGTAACACTGGTAACGCTGGTAACACAGGTAACGAGTAACACTACTATAACACGAGTAGCACAAGTTTATGTAGGGGATTCGTCAGAGTTTACCGATGTTTCCAGTATTAACCGTGTTGCTAATATTGCCAGTATTACTACGTGTTACTGTCGTTACCAGTAATACCAGTAATACCAGTAGTACCAGTAATACTAGTGTTGCCAGTGTTACCATGTACTCTGTTACTCGTGTTACAAATGTTGTTTTATCGCTACTAGCGGCCCAATGCTTACCAGGTGTGAGAAATGTCATATTGGGTCAGCGAGACCTCGGTTAACAATTCTTTCAGTGCTCTCGCATATACTTCTAACAATGTTAAGGTTGGAAAGCACTGAACGCATGGTGCTCATATAATTTGAACGACAACTCTTATGAACTCTTCTCAAGGGTTACAGCAGAGTGACGTCTATTAGAGCAGTAAGTATCATAAATGCCAGGAGCACATATCGTGGATGAATCGCATCACTCTAATATCAAACGCAAAGAGGATTTCTTTTCCCTTCTTTTGCTTAGGCTAAATCGCTGGGGAATGGCTTACCACAGATATAAACTATGTTTATTATGAGTGCGCCATGGTAATCGCAAGATCATCAAACAGCGTAGACGATGAACACAAAAGAAAAATGCGGTAGGAGATAACATATTAATGGGTACGCTGCTGAGAAGAGCGACCAAAACATCAGATTATTAGGTTGTAAAGAAAGTTCCCGGGCACTACAAGGTATCCTATTTTGTTAGATTCTCAGCAAATCTTGGGCCACCACGGAATAAATCAAGTCTTTGAATGCTGCAAATATTGCCGGAGTAATTCTTGCGCACCTTTTGCGCCCATCACCGAGGCGTGACGATCCTCACAAAAACGACGCCAACTGCCAAAACGGGTACGATTGGAGGCAAGTTTGACAGCTTGTAATTCTTGAGTGCGTACTGTAAGATCCGAGCACAGCTGCAGTATTAAAGTGGACAGCCTTCTTACTCAGAATGACCAACTAAATGGTTTTCTTTGTTCACAATGAAAAAATGGCAGCAAAGAGAAAAATTGTGAAATTTTTGTCGTTGCACGGATTTACTTTTTGGTATGGAGATCAAACACGGATTGACATCTACGAAACTGGATGCGAGTATGGAAAGTATAGGCTCTCTTCTACAAAATCTTATGAAACAATTATCGTTAATATTCAGCCGAGTGCAAAAAACGAGCCTGAAAATGAAATTTTTCAAAATTGGCCGGGAACTGTCTTCCAACTTGATACCTTGCAGCAAGAACAGTGATTGCATTCACTACGACTACAAGTTCTAACATTCAGTTCTATTTTCAAAGGACTGTAGTAATTACACCCAACTATTCGTATATTGACCATCAATTGGGTGTGGGGGGGGGGGGGTAGAAATCAACGAGAATGTGGAAGAATGTGCGCCATGAAGATCCTTGACTTGTGCATCCACGAGATGAGCGCAAACTCCACGACAAAGCGATCGCTGTACACATTCCTCTTTTGTGACTTCTGTGGTGCAGCTTAGCATGCTTCGAATGAAAGAGAGAAGGGCTTTCAGCAAAAGGATTTTGGCATTGGCATGAAATCTCCAAAAATAGTTCGAACGGCACTATTCCAGTATCCGGGGCCCAAAATTTCATTTGCTAAAACTCGATCTATGAGGGATCATGAATATTACATTCACATTCAATATTACAGTCATAATATCAAATTCATTCGTTTTTTTTCTGTAAAAACGTCATTTCTTAGGGCCACGGTTCATACGGTAGTGGGTCAGAATCAGTTTTGGCTGAAGTTTAGTCTAGGGGTTTTTCTGACTTGCTGTTCATGAATATCATACACTTTCTGCATTCTTGGGCCTTTTCATGGAATTATGGTGGGTATAAAGTATGGGGTCAAAATCACGAATAAGGTTTAAACTTTGCCAAGGGGGTCATTTAGCCCTCTAAACATGAATATCATACGATTTTTTAAAATAGCACCATTTTCTTAGCGGTGTACAGTAGATGGCTCGTTTGCTTTGAAAGGCTTTTAAGAAATCTGATTATATTATGTATGTTTGCGGCATTAATGCCTTGTTGTGGAGTTACGGTAACTTGCAGCGTATGGATGGACATTTTTTCGCATTTCGGGTCATTCAAATCGCAAGAATTTACCCAAAGGCTTCATTGGATGATTTTCAAGCAGATGTATAATTTTGACCTTTAGCTTATATCTATCTCTATCTATCTATCTATCGTCACCTCTGCTTCGCAGAGGCTCGCACTGGCTCTACTATCTAGGCCCTACTCATTCTCGCATGATGATGGCATTGATACTCACCAAGCGATGCCGACTATCACGAACAAAATGTAAACAACTACTCATTCCGAAAGCTTTTTGGTGTGAAATCGGTGATTTCGCGTGGATGGGACTTTTTGCAGGAAAACAAACACAAATTTTTGTAGGTTTTTGATTTTCTCATGGTCTCGACACTTGCAATAAGAACAGCAGTCACTGTGAGCTACATCTTTGTGCAAAAATCTCGTCAAATGCTCTGGGGAAACCTTGGCAAATTGACCATTTACGCAACCAATACCTTTTGGCGCCGTTTTTGTAAAGTAATAATTTTTTGATAACTTTTTTGGGCCTAAGTTCATGGCTTGCTCATTTACTTGGCATAAACATCAACGACTCTACAAAAAGTGGAATTACGGACCCAATTTTGCGGCCCAAATGCAGAGTGGATCCGTTTGACGCGCAGTCTCTGAGGGATCCACCCAACGAATCTGCTCGTGCTTTTGCGTATTGGACTTTCATGCGGGTAGCATGCGCTGTGCAAAATTTGAGCCCAGGAGATTGGCTGGAACTCCCGCTATGAATTTCGTGACAGACAGACATTCACCCAGACAGACACACAAAAAACGTAAACACTCTTAGCGCGTTATTATAGTAGGATAACTCCACGAGAAGATCCCGAGACGAAAATGGAGTATGATGCCTGTGATCAGCATGTAGAATTACCCTTCTAGACCGAATTTTGACTAAACTTGAGATTTTGTCCCCCTACCGTAAACCTACTGTGACTTTATGAAAGGGCCCTATAATGCAGAAATACAATAATCGTGATCAGCATGTGGGATAACACCCCTAAGCCAAGTTCCAGCTAAATCCCGATCTTGCCCCTGCTACAGTGCTACAAAATTATAGGTCCATTCTAAAAAGTGCCATAACTCACCCTGTTGTCAATAAAATGTTCCAAAATTCGGTACAGCTGTGTTTACCAGCCTACTATCAGTCATCAAAATGGGTCTCGTTTTCGTTTGGTTATTCAGGAAAAAATTGAAAATTTTGAAAAAAGCAGGCTTGAAGGCTGAACAAAATTATAGGTCCACTTGGAGTTTTTACTAATTAAAGCACTTCTTAGCTCCCGAATTTCTTTAGGTAGGTACACATCCAAAAACGTTTGACAGCTGCTTTAGTCAAGCTGTGTCATACCTCCAAAAAGAACTGATTATCTGCTTTTCCTGCCTTGAAAATGCTTTCAAGGCAGGAAAAGCAAATCCTTTCACATGTATTTCGCTCCACAAACCTGCGTTGAGTAAGAAATTCTGCAGTTTCTCAGCTGGATTGGAAGGGACGGGGTTTCATCTACCTTCGGCATGCTTGTTGACCTGAGCATTGAAGAAAAAATCCGACTTTTTGCTGCTGAAGCAAATCCGACATTGACAATACTGCAATTCTGTGCTCAAGTTT